CAATCCTCCTACACTGTTGGGAATGCAAGCTGGTACAGCAACTCGAAACAGTATGGAGCGTCCTCAAAAAATTAAAAATAGAATTATCCTACATTTCATCAAATGTACTACCACGTATTTACCCAAAGGATACAAAAATACTAATTCAAAAGGGTATTAGTTTATTGCAGCCCCAATGTTTATTGCAGCATGATCAACAATAACCAAAGTATGGAAAGAGCCCAAATGTCCATAAACTGAAGAATGGTGAAAAATGTGGTGTGTATATATATATATGTATGGTGAAAGATGTGGTATATATATATGCAATGGAATATTACTCAACCATCAGAAAGAATGAAATGTTGCCATTTGCAATAACATGGAGTACAGTATTATGCTAAGAAAATTCAGAAAAAGGCAAATACCATATGACTTCATTCATATATGGAATTTAATAAAAAAAAGATGAACATATGGACATATGAACATATGGACATGTGATATAAATACATGGGCATAAGATATGAACATATCTTCTGTGGAGAAAGAAAAAAAGGAGAGAGAAACAAACCATAAAAGTATCTTAATCTCAGGAAACAAACTGATGAGGGTTGCTGGTGGGGAGGTGGGCGGCAGGATGGGGTAACCGGGTGATGGATATTTAGGAGGGCATGTGATGGAATGAGCTAAGGGTGTTGTATGTAAGTGATGAATCAGACAGGAATAGGCTTCTAAGCCCCTATTACTACTAAGGAAGGACTGTATCAACCAGAATATAACGTGGGAAAGTTTAAGAAATCTGGACTCTTGACAAAATTTAGCCAGGTTTAATTAAATCACAGGTTTAATTAAATTGGTCTGTTTGACCAGAAGTCAAAATCTTTTGCCTATAATCAGGGTGTCCTCCACATGTTTTTACATTTTAAATAGTTGGAGCGGGGGAAATGAAAATAGTTTGTCATGTGAAAATTTCATAAATTCAAATTTGTGGTCATAAATAAAATTATACTGAATTCAGCCATACCTATTCCTTTACATGTGAAGAGCTGAAAATAGAGAATTTGGAGTTTTTCCTTGGTATACTTGCTTGGCACGCTACAAATCACAGTAAGTCAGTTAGTTAAAATAATGTTTCAAGTGGTGTATATAGTGCTACAGGAGTTCATTTTTTCTGATTACTAGTGCAAACTGATCACAAAAAGAGTGGATCATGAATGTCAGGAATGGTTTAGACATCTGCATGTATAATTACAACTGTATCTGAATTACATGGTTAAAAAATTATTTATTATTCAATAATATGACAGCTATTAAAAAACACAATGTATATTGATATCACTAGATGAAGCACTCATTTCCAACCACATACAAAAACATGAGTCAGTGGCGCCTGGGTGGCTCAGTCGTTAAGCATCTGCCTTTGGCTCAGGTCATGATCCCAGGGTCCTGGGATTGAGCCCCACATTGGGCTTCCTGTTCAGCAGAAAGCCTGCTTCTTCCTCTCCTACTCCCCCTGCTTTTGTTCCCTCTCTCGCTATGTCTCTGTCAAATAATAAAATCTTTAAAAAAAAAAAAAAGTCAGGAAAAAGTAGAAAATTTAAAATAGAGAATCTTATTTTAGCACGATTTTTTTTTTTTAAGATTTATTTATTTTAGAGACAGAGAAGGAGCAGCGGGGAGGAGGGGCACAGAAGCAGGCAGAGGGAAAAGCAGACTCCCCACTAAGCAGAGAGTCCAAAGTGCTACTCCTATTTCAGGACCCTGGGATCATGACCTAAGCTGAAGGCAGACATCTAACTAACTGAGCCACCCAGGGGTCCCACCATGGTTTTTTCTTAAAAATAAATATAATGGAATTAAAGTATGTTTCTATTTAGTCAATGACACCAATTAAGGAAAGTTACTTATAGATGTTAATTAAATAGTGTTTCACAACAGCAGCTTGAAGAACTGTGGCTCAACTGGTTAAGCATCTGACTCTTGCTTTTGGCTCAGGTCACGATGTCAGCATTGTGAAATTGAGCCCAACTATTGTAGAGTCTGCTTGATATTCTCTCCCTTCCTGTGCTCCTCCCACTCTACTCACATGCACTCTCTCAAAAAAATAAAAAATAGGGGAGCCTGGGTGGCTCAGTTGGTTAAGCAACTGCCTTCGGCTCAGATCACGATCCTGGAATCCTGGGATCGAATCCCACATCGGGCTCCCTGCTTGGCGGGGAGTCTGCTTCTCCCTCTGACTACCCCCCTCTCGTGCTTTCTATCTCATTCTCTCAAATAAGTAAATAAAATCTTTAAAAGAAAAATAAAAATAAAAAGGGGCGCCTGGGTGGCTCAGTCATTAAGCGTCTGCCTTCGGCTCAGGTCATGATCCCAGGGTCCTGGGATCGAGTCCCGCATCGGGCTCCCTGCTCCGCGGGAAGCCTGCTTCTCCCTCTCCCACTCCCCCTGCTTGTGTTCCTGCTCTCGCTGTCTCTCTGTCAAATAAATAAAATCTTTAAAAAAAATAAAAAATAAAAAATTGAGTATCCTGAACTGCCAAGGTGAAATTACTGCTACTGCTTTTCTTATTTTTGAAAAGTCAGTGTGAAGTAGAAAGTAGAGGATGAGCTTTTATTAATAGCCTTTATGGAACAACTACCAGTATTTTTAGAATAGATAAAAAAAACACAGAATCACTGGATCCTATGGACACCTGGGTGGCTCAGTTGGTTAAGTGACTGCCTTCCGCTTAGGTCATGATCCTGGAGTCCCGGGATCGAGTCCCACATCGGGCTTCCTGCTCAGCGGGGAGTCTGCTTCTTCCTCTGACCCTCCCCCCTCTCATGTGCTCTCTCTCATTCTCTCAAATAAATAAATAAAATCTTTTAAAAAAAAAATCACTGAATCCTAAAGTGGAATATGTGAAGAAATATTAGATGTGCTGGTCGTAAAAATGTGTAAATCAGATAATACAAATGTACACGCTTTTGAAAATATAACATGCTATATTTCAATCTATCATATATTGTTATAACAATAGTATCAATGAACTTTATTCTCATGAACAGTAATATTATTATTTCCATGAATTTTTGTCAGAAACAGAAGCTAAGTAGCCTGCCTACAAGCCATACCACACAGGACTTTGAAGCCTTAGTAATCGTAAAGTATTATTACAATTGCATTTTTTTCATAAAAATCAACATGAAAATTTTCCTGCAAGAGAAAAATTACCCTGAATTATTATAAAGCACTAAATGGCTTTGGAAATTAACTTTATGCTACAAATTTGATGTTTTTTAATTCAACATACAATCACAGGATCATCAGCACTTATATACAAAACTTAATGATGCATCTTTGTATTTGGTTTCATGTTAGAACTTGCTCCTGAAGTAAAACAAAGGTGGTCCAGAAAAAGATGTACAATTGTCCCTGTATTGCACCTGACCCACACAAGAGGAATTTGTGGCTGAGCACTTAGGAAGATTATTGTAGACACAAGGTCTCAATTCTTTCACTACATTAGTATTTTCCATTACACAGTGATTCTCAAATGGTCATATGCAAATATAAACTCTGGGAAAACAAATACAGGGAGCAAAGGCTGTATTTAAAAGATACTCCTTTGGAGAATTAATAAAAATTTTCAGAGTGCATGCTGAGAATCAAAAACCTACCACATTTGTGTGGGAGAACAATACCTATAAAACTTCAGAAAGTAATTCTTATATGTAGATGAAATAGCACAAGACTTTCTATGTAATCTGATTGCTGTTACAATAAGCTATTTTTCTGACAGATAAAGTAAAACAGGTAGGAGGCTATGATTATGTTTGTAATCAACAAAGTTATGCCTGAGGATAAATTGATAGTGTGGAAAATAAAGACAGGAAATAAGAGGGAGAAGACAACTAGGATGGTGACAATTATAGGTATGAAATTTTATACACACTGGGCACCTGGGTCGCTCAGTCAGTTAATTGTCTGCCTTCAGCTTAGGCAGTGATCCCACGGTCCTGGGCTCCCTGCTCAGCGGGAAGCCTGCCTCTCCCTCTCCCTCTGCTGCTCCTGCTGCTTGTCCTCTCTCTCTCCTAAATAAATAGAATCTTAAAAAAATTTTTTATATAGAGAAATAGGTCTATCCTGGCTGGATAAACAAATAAAAAGCAGAGCATTCATTTAAGAGATTCAAACCAGGTCCACAGAATCTGATTACTGAAAAGGACTGAGAAAAGTAGAATGTATGACTGGATCAGAGACATACAAAAAGATAGATGTAAACTAAGGTTGTTGTACTAGTCTTGCTTATTTACATATTCATCTTTGTGAACTTTTAAAACAAATGTATCATACCATATTTTATCACCAAAGAGAACAGGGAAAGGTAAGACGTATAACAAATTGTTCAAGTTCAGCTCTATCAAATTCAGGAGGCAAAGTGAACTGCATGTAGGAAAATAAGGTTGGTACCAGGCTACCTAAAACCGTATGAAACAGAATAAAGAGGGAAGCATATTAAAAGACTTACTGAAAGTTAGTTACTTACTAAAAGTTAACAGTAATTAGGACAATGGGGTTCTGATAAAGAGATAAACACATAGATCAATAATGAAGAGAACATTACAGACATACAAGTATGGCCAAGAGATTTTCAACAAAGGAGTAACAAAGTGATTCAATGGAGAATGAGTAACTCCCCAATGGTGGTGAACAACTGGAATCCATAGGGGAGTAAATGATCTTGATCTAAGTGTTATATATTATAAAACTGACTCTTCACACACCCACCAGAAAAGTATAACAGATAGTTCAAACCAGGTTTTTAAGTTTCCCAACTTAAGTCATTCACTGTTATATTGAAAGAAGTTCAAATCAGATCCACAGTTTTAAAACACACCAATTGCTGTTTTATTTTTAACAAAGGGAATAAAATTAAAATGGACAATAGTCTGAACCAAGAACTTCTTGTTTTGTTCCATTCTTTTTGGCTTTAACAAGTAATTACATAACACAATGTCTTTTCTTATGTGAACCAAGGTAAGAAAAGGAGGTAGAATGTAGAAGCCGCCTTGAAGCACCAAAATATTTTTAAAATATAAGAAAAAAGGAAGAGAAATAAAGAGATATATTTGCCTTTGTCAAGTTTTATTTGCCTAAGTGCAGAACAAAACTGGCTTGAGAAATCATTCACTGTGTGGTAGTCCCAGTAATGCTGGCGAGAAACTTCTGGGAAGAGGCACACAGGGCACTGACCTTAGGAACCGAGCTCAAAACATCACTTTTAAGACATAAGATATCAAAACTCTGAAGTGACAAATTCTAGATAAGAAACAAAGTTCATGACCTAGGAAGGTCCAAGAGGCAGTGGATTTATAAAAAAACCCTTTTCTACTTGGTGTCATAACTCTTCCCGTTGAGGGTAGGGCTGGTGTAGCAAGGGGGTTAAGGAAGGAAAAGAGGCTACAGAACCTGAATCGTTCTGTTGGAAGCTATTTTGGTTCCCTTTCAAGATGGGGCTATGCTCTGTAGATGTCAGGAAAATATTTTCACTATCTGTTTCCTCTTCAAACTCTTCTTCTTGGCCCTCATCAGGCTTAATGTCTGAGTTTCGAGCTTTTTTTGACTGCAGCTCTTCTTTACTTTTCCTACCGAGATCTATTTTCTGCTGTCGCCGCCGCCTTCGCTTCTCCAATGCCCGACCTCTTGTCCGATTTCCTTGATGCTCAGGCTTCTCCAGCTACAATGATACACAGGGAAGCAGAAAGTACTTGTGGGCCAATGGTCAGGCCTAATCTCCTGGCCTTGCCCATGACCTTTCTCCTCACCTCTAGAAGTGTACGGATCCGCTCAATGTCTGGAGGTTGTCCAGCTTGCAGTAGCTGCCAGATGCTATGGTTCTCATCCAGGGTCACCTCAAGCAGATCCCCCTCCAACATGAGCTCCTCCAGTGGGGCCCGGGTTGCCTCAGGCAGGTTCAATACAGGGCCAGTCAACTGTGGCAATAGTGAGGACAATACCTCCAGGTCTGGGAAATTTTAGGGACAGGCTGAGTTAGAGGCTATGTGTAGTACTAGGCCCAACACCTCGATAAAGAAACAACCAAACAGTTCACCCTTGTGCTTTCTGCCATCTACTCCACAGCCTAACCAAACCTAGATCTACATGTCTTACCTGAGCCCTGAACAGGAGCTATCTTCCCATGAGTAGCCATACTGTCCACATTTGGCAGCAACCCTGGGACCTGCTAAGGAGAGTAAGAATGGGTAGGGTAACAGGTAAAAGAAAAACCAGGTCCTAATATTTTTTGCACCAACTCCAAACTTAGGACGTTTACCTCCCGGGGGAGGAAGGTACATACTGGCTGACAACAGGGTGCAGTCAGAGATCTGGATAGGATGCAAAATGGGACCACGAAGGTTACACCAAGGAAGATTAAAAATTACAGGTCAGAGCATAAAGTCTAAATAGGGATATGGCCAGGAGACAGACATTTAAAGGCAAGAGCTGGGCAGGACAGCTAACCTTAGGCATATCGTTGCCACTGCCTTCTCTGTGTGGGTCACAGGCAGGGGTTGAAGGGTAGGTAAGGGGCTCCTCCAATCTGGATACATCCTGCAGTTGCTGGCGAAGCTCAGCCAGCTGTCCCAACAGAGCAGTTACATCCTCAGATGCTAGAGCCTGCCTGGCACGGCCTTGCCAGACAATGGCTCTCTCTGTGAGGCACTGGAGGGCTTCACCCTCAGGCAGCCGTACTGGCAGTCTCTGCAGGGCTACCAACAGGGCCAGGATGGTCTCCAGACGTGGGCGCCGTGAGCGCATGCATAGTGGACACAAAAATTTGGTGTTCCACTCCCACCAGGCTAACAGTGGTGATGAGGTGGAACTAGGCCTTGAAGAGCTGAAGAGGCGGGGAACTGACACACATTGCCCATGGAACCAGTCCTGACACAGGTCACACTGCAGAGCTCCCACCCCAGCTGGCACCTGCCCACAAACACAGATGGAGGTTGCAGAAGAAACTGCGGTCGATGATGCCAGTGGACTGGGCTTGGCGGAGTTGGTGCGACGCAGCTGCAGGATACCCTCCTTCTCCTTCTGCTCCCCCTCCTTGAAAGCCACGATCTGACATGCCCAGGACAGAGGAAGAGGAGGTAAGCAGTCAGTCCATTCCATTCCTTTCTCTGGTGCTTTTACCATCTCACTCACAAACCAGGTGAGGTTTAGAGAGCAAATGGTCTGCCTATAGTCACCCAGCTCAGATACTCTTATCATCAGCATGCTCTTCTTCCCACCTATGCCCAAACTCCTTACCACAGAGCCTGGATCCCTGAGGTCCTGTGCAGACAGTCCAAGCAACTCTGTGTCAGATCTGTACAAGCCCAACTCCTTCTCTATCCACCGGCTACGCTTGCTGGTATCTGAGCCAGCATCTGTACATGGGCAAAGTACCTGAAGCAGGCAAAGAGTGGGAGCATGGCTAAAGTTCCCCTCCCCTTCCCCACATCCCCCAATTCCTGATGCTCTCACAATACCTAGGCTAGAGGCAGGAAAGGATGTGAGTTACAGTCTCAGGTCTTACCTCCAGCAGGGCGTAGCATGAATTCTTCTTGAGGAAAGTCTTTGAAGCCTTCTCCCTCCACGAATGTGCTGTCAGAACCTGCAGCTCTAACTGTCTCAGCTCTTCCAAGCCTACAGGTAGGTCCCGGCCTATAGCCACCAGGCCTTCCAAGTCATCCAAACAGGGATAGTGGTCACCATTCTATGACACAGACAACAGAAATTAAATTAGGTCAATTACTTTGTGTTCAGATTTATGCTGGTCAATGCTAAGCATCATGCTGCATAGTTATAAAGAAAATACATAGACTATTCTAAACAAAACAATGGGATACCCAATACTTTCACCAAGAAGTCCTACTTCACTGACTCAGAAAAAATATCCCCTTCCATGTCAACTATTTTGTTCTAATTTCCTTTGTCTGACCCCCTACCTTTGGGATAGTCAATGTTCAGGTGTAGGCCCATGCCTAGGCTTCTCCTTCTGCTATTTTTATCGTGATATCCTCACAGCTCTAATCTGTTACCTCTACTTACTAGCACAAGAGAACTGTATTATAAAAAGCCAAAGGCAGAACTGTGTTTCTTCTGACTATACATCCGCACTAGGAAAGGAGGAGGCAAGTCCTTACTTGGATCTCATCCACATCAGCAATCCAAGCATGTGCCTTAGCCAGAGCATCTTTGAGTGCTTGGATGTTAGGCAGGTGAACTGGGATATTTTCTGCCTCACGAATTATGGCTTCCAATGTAGATGGTGGATGCTTCTGCCTAAACATGTTTGGAAAAACAGGAATCCATCCTTCAATGTTATATGCATGGGCATTTTTTTGTCATAGCTTTCACTACCAAAAGCATAAGTAACAAAAAGTTCAAAATAGTAAGTAAGCAATAATAATACCTCAAGTGTCACTAAACACTGAAGCAACCATCTGAGTCTCTTATTAAGTTAGGTCTGGTATATGTGATTTGAGAACTAGGCCCATAAATATTTCAATTATTGCCTTTTAATACAGTAGTAAATAGAGGACTGGATGACATGTCATACCAATCCTTTACAGTTTAGCAGATGCCTAATTAGAGGTCTGGTGTCAGGGTCATCCACTAAAGCCATCCCCAGAGTCTGACGGACAGAGTTACACAGTATATTTGAGGAAAGGCTGGGCCCCACCTGGCCTCCAGGCAGAAATGGGCCTTTTCTTCCCAGCGCTCTGCAATGGTCAGCAGCTCCTGAAGCTCAGCCCGGGCCTTGTCCACAGAAGGACTGGAGGCTATCTTGGCACCTGTAACCAAGAGCCCCTGCATGATAACCAGAGAGCCCCTTTGAGCTGAAGGAGCCAGTGCTTGCTTCACCTCATCTAGCCATCGCGCCTGCTCCACCTGTTGCTGGAGCTGATGGGCTTCAGGTACCTCTACGCCCAGCTGCTGCCCCTTCTCCAACAAGGACCGCAATAGCCCTACACTGGGGGGCAGTGAGGCCAGAGCCTCCCGGGCCTCAATTTGGTAGGCCTCCACCTGTTCCAAAACATCCTGCAAAAATATAGGATAAAGAAGACACTCATTAGTTATCTAGATATGGAACCACCTATCCTCAATCTGTTCCCTTATATTCTCTGTTAGGCATTTATACTTATCTTCAATCATATAATAAGATATGATAGACTTACTATCAACAAAAGTCCTTTATTTGCCATAACATTGCTTTTCCTTTAGTTATCTCAAACTTATCCTTTCAGGCCAACTTTAATATGACTTACCCTTTCAGAAAGCTTCCTGAGACTCTAAAAAAAAAATCTGCCTATCTCCTTGACATTCTCCAATGCCAACATCCAGATAGATATCCAGCCCTGTGTTCAGTATTTTTAAATTTTTGCTTGGGAGGATACCTGCTTGAACTATTTAGCTACAAAGCTATTATAATACAGATAGTACTGAACCACCCAACTCTGTAAGTTGTAACAAAGATTTCTTATAAGAAGCTACTTTAATCAGAGTTTCAAGCTTCCCTGCTATCCCAGATTTTACTAGTATCTGTTCTAAATGGGAATTCCCTCTTTACCTTGACATCCCCAATTTGATGCATGGCACATGGAAGGCTGCCCATCTGCTCAAGAAGAACTCGCAACTCAGTCAGGGTCAGTTGTGGAGTTTCAATCCTGTACAAGTAAGGGAAAAAAAGATTCATTCACTGAACCTGCTAAGGCCATAGTGCATACATTTTCAGTAACCCAACATATTTATTTTATTTCCGTGTTATAGCAATACCTTGGAAATCATCTTCAAAGTTCAGGGACTATCAGTTAAGTTGAAAAAAATGTGGAGACATTTTGTATTTAAAACCGTTAGAGAAGACTGAAGATATCAAAGTGAGACAATACAAGTTTCTGAAGAAAGTATGCTTTCTGAGATACCAGTAGATAGAAAAATTAAAATAACTACAAACATTCCTTTTTCAGAGAACAACGATGTGAGATGACTTCTTCCAAAGCTTCTGTTTCCTATATTAATGAAGGGTTATAAGGCAATCAAAATGAAGTATAGGAAGAAAAAAAAATATAGGTTCAATAGTATCTAAGAGCAGTAGGTTTCAAAGTGAGGCTAAAAATAAAACATCTGCTAATTACATTTAAAATAAGTACCAGAATTTTTAAGAAAAACAGACAAAAGAATTAAGAAACAAGGAGTGTGATGGGATGATGTAGAACAACGAAAAGTAATAATGGACACATTACTATAGACAAAAGAGGAATAAGTAAGAATTCATTATGTGAGAAATGCAAGAGCTCTAAAAATAAGTTCTTAGATGTACTCTCTGGTGTAATCGTCCATAAGCAAGAAGAATTAAAGAGGCCAGAAGTTAGATGAATTAGAACTGGAGGCAGATTAAGATCACAAATACTAAAACCTACAGCCACCTGATGAATTCACCAGGTCAAGTTACGAAAAATTTTCTTTCTTTTGAAGTAGAGAAGGAAAGGAAATTGACTATGAAAAGGGAATTCATTACTACTTTGACCTTTAATTTAAAAAAAAATTCTCTGAATTTGAAAATATCTTACTTTGAGATATTGTGATTAATATCTTCAACTGTTTTATGTGAAATTTACAAAGCACATGTATATAATCACCTAATTTTTAGAAAGAAAAACTTAATCTATGATTACACACATTTGGCAACTAACAGACAAATAAAATTTAATGTCTAAAACTGTATCTACCGACACAGTCAATAATTAATTTTCTGGAAATCTGATGTCTGAATTTTTTTTTTTTATGTTAAAGATTTTTATTTATTTATTTGAGAGAGAGAATGAGAGATAGAGAGCACGAGAGGGAAGAGGGTCAGAAGGAGAAGCAGACTCCCTGCTGAGCAGGGAGCCCGATGTGGGACTCGATCCCGGGACTCCAAGATCATGACCTGAGCTGAAGGCAGTCGCTTAACCAACTGAGCCACCCAGGCGCCCCAAGATGTGTGAATATTTTTATGAAATCTGCTAGCAACTAGGACTGTAATGGTTGTACTGCATCTTCATTCTCATTGTCTTTGATGGTGTAAGTACGCTTCTTCAAAGAGATTATATACGTAAGTTTTAGATATTAATATTGCTCATGCATATAAATTATTAACTTTATTACATGGATTCTTTATTTAGGACCTATCTTTTTTTTAAGATTTTGTTTATTTATTAGAAAGAGAGAGAACACCAGCAGGGGGAGGGGCAGAGGAAGACGGAGAAGCAGGCTCCCTACAGAGCAGGGAGCCCGATGTAGGGCTTGATCCCAGGACCCTGGGATCATGACCTGAGCCAAAGGCAGACGCTTGAGCCACCCAGGCATCCCTGACTTACCCATTTTTTGTTGTCCATTTTCCTATAACTAACATCCATTTTTTGCCCTCTTCTGTAACCTACCTGGCCTCTTGACCACTGACCAGCCCCAGGACTTGGGAGACACAAGCCTCTGCTTCATTTAGGCAGTTCCTCAGTCGCTGAAGTAGGTCACTGTTAGGAAATCTCCTCTCACGAGCCTCAGACTCCAGTGCCCTTAGCTCTTCAAAGCCTGAAAATAGAGTTAAAGTTGCAAAAAAGTAAGCAGTATTAGGAAAAAGTGGAGGAGGGAGACAGGAGTGCTGTAGAAAAGAAATAGAGGTTGCCAGGCGGGGGCGGGGGGGTGTCTTTCCATTTCTCATCACTTACTGCGCTTGCGGCCATCCTCCACTTCCAAGGCCACTCGTACTTTGTTGGCCCAGGTGTCAAAGGATTCAGCCCGAATCTTTAGCTTATGTAGCATGGCAGGAAGCTCATCCAAGGTGTACCGATACCTGGAGAAAGGGGGCAATGAAATGCACATGTGGCCCAGCTCTGTAACCTCTTCTGTGTCCTCCAAGTAGACCCCATGGCTCACCGCAGATACTGCCGACTACTTGAGCACTTGCAGAGGTCGTTGATGTGGGAAAGGCAGACTAGGCCATCTGGGCAGTCATAGCACGCCAGAGCTGATAGGAAGCACGTTGTCTTGCACTTCATGCACTGGCGCTCATCATCTGGGAGCAGCTCAAAAGCCTCTCGTTCAGCCTCCGTGATGCCCTGGGGGTGTTCAACCCACATATACTGTAAAGACTAGGAGCAGGGTTGTGGACACCCCACCTCAGCCAACACTGAACCCTGCTGTGGGCTCAACCTTGTAAGGATAGCTGTAGAGAAATCGGAAGAAAAAAATATAAACACATACAGTTTCTGTCTTTCCATTTCAAAATGTATGAGTCAGAGATGAGGCACCAAATGACTACTCAATTTTTATCTGTCTCCCTTCCAGAAGCCTACTTTCCTGAATCCCTAAGCCATGCTTCCCACCACCCACCTTCTCCAATAGAGCTTTTCGTAAACGTCGCTCCTCTTGCACCATAATGAACATCTCCTTATGCACAGCCACAGCCAAATTCAGATCCAACTTCTCTGGAAAGGCAGCCATCTTGCAGATGAGCTCCTCATGGGAGAAAACACAGTAGCGCCGGAGCCGGCGGTAGTGTTCAATGCACTGGCGTCCAGCAGGTAGCTGTAAGTAGTTCAAGACTGTGTGTGGCTATCTGCAGCCACAGTATTTACATTCTCCACAATGATCTCTGTCCGTATTCTTATCCCTCTGTATCTACAAACCTACCACACTCCAGACTCACCCAGTCAGCAGTGCAAAAGTTGACAGCCTCAGCAAAATTATAGCCTTGGTTAAAGCCACTGTGATAAGCACGAGGAAATGTGATGACAAATTCTCCTGCACATTGGTTTGTACGGACAACCTAAAAAGAACAGAGGGGGGACTATGAGAGAATGTGCACTTAATATTATCTTTAAATTTTGTTATAGGGATGCCTGGGTGGCTCAGTTGTTAAGCGTCTGCCTTCGGCTTGGGTCGTGGTCCCAGGGTCCTGGGATCGAGCCCCACATCGGGCTCCCTGCTCGGTGGGAAGCCTGCTTCTCCCTCTCCCACTCCCCTGCTTGTGTTCCCTCTCTCACTGTGTCTCTCTGTCAAATAAATAAATAAAATCTTAAAAAAATAAATTTGTTATAGATCTGGGAAGTGACTGCAGAAACACATAGGCTCTATCTTCATATATGTATACCTTACAAAAGAAAATGAGAATGTGAACTTTAAAAATGATATGAAGGGCACACAGTGGCTTGGTTGAGCATCTAACTCTTGATTTCAGATGAGGTCTAGATCTTAGTGTTGAGGACATTCTAGCCATGAGCTAGACTCTACACCCGCATGCAGCCCACATAAAAAAAAAAAGTGACATGCGAAGAAAAAGACAAAGAAAAACAATGTGTAATTCAAGAAGGAAATACACATATGTCCATAACATATGATAAACATTCTTAACTTATTCAATAAAGACATATAACTTAAAAAAAATCAGCACATGATGTCAACACAAATGACAGAAGAACTCCAAAATCTCATCCCTCTACTAAAACAATGATTAAACTAGCAGAAAGTAGCTAAGTATTTTAAAAACTCTGTACTGAAATCACAAACTACAAATACTAGGAGGACATTCAGTGAAAAACAAAATACCTTCTAAATTTTGGCAAAAGACTTTGTGGTGGTATATCTTTCCTGCCTACAATCCCTCCACCATCACCAGCTACCTTGGAAACAATACTATTAGGATCCTGGTGCAACATCTGGTGCCAAAGAACACAACATTGATCTTGTTTCCAAAGAACTGAGGTGACATGGTTTGACCTGACTGATCTCCTGAAAAAACTGCCTCAAGAACCTGCTTTTATTTAAACTTCCTCAGAGTTTAACTAGAACAGAAGTGGATTCCCAGGCTCTGCTAGCTGAAAATATTTAAACACAACTAGATTAGCTACAACCACCTGTGGTAAAAGAAGAGACTGGATTAAAAAAAAAGAAATTCTAAAATGCCTAGGAAGGAAAAGGCAGAGGAAGGAGGTATTTGGAAGAATAAAAGCTCTGAAAAACTCCCATGTATTTTCAGGAATTGAGAAAGCTATAAACATGCTAAGAAAAACTTAAAATACCCTTAAGCTCCATCTGTGGTTGACTTTCAGGCTCCACACAAGCAGAAGCTGAAGGCAAACATAGTTTTAAACAGCTCCCCAAAGCAGTGAAAAGCAGCCCAAAACAGAAATCTGGAAAGAGTAGAAGGCTATTATTTTTTTTTCATTTTTTGATTTAAGGAAACTCCATGGTGACAGAACAGAGAACTATACACTTGACAAGATTACTTCTAATCATGAAAAGCTGCACAGTATCATTAGTCACTAGGGAAATGGCACATTATAGCCAGAAGATACCACTTCTTAAAACTCTCACATCCATAATTTTTTTTTAAACAGGAAAATTATAAGGTTGGCAAGGCAATGAAAAGAAGGCAACACTTGGTGTAATGTAAATTAATGCAGCCACTCTGGAAAACAGGAGAGAAGTTCCTCAGAAAATTAAATACAGAAATACCATTTGACCCAGTAATTCCACTTCTGGTTATATAACCTAAAGATTGGAAAGCAAGGACTGAAAAGATAAATCATACTTGTACCCCAATGTTCACAGCAGCATTGTTCTTGTTAGTCAAAAAATTGAGATAAAGAAGATTCAGCCACTCTGGAAAACAGTATGGAGTTTCCTCAAAAAGTTGAAAATAGAGCTATCATACGACCCAGCAATTGCACTACTGGGTATTTACCCCAAAGAGAAGAACGTAGGGATCCAAAGGGGTAAATGCACCCCGATGTTTATAGCAGCACAGTCCACAATAGCCAAACTGTGGAAAGAGCCAAGATGTCCATCGACAGATGAATGAATAAAGAAGATGTGGTATATATATACAATGGAATATTACGTAGCCATGAAAAGGAATAAAATCTTGCCATTTGCAATGACATGGATGCAACTAGAGGGTACTGTGCTGAGCGAAATAAGTCAATCAGAGAAAGACATATATCATATGACCTCACTGATATGAGGAATTCTTAATCTCAGGAAACAAACAGGGTTGCTGGAGTGGTAGGGGGTGGGAGGGATGGGGTGGCTGGGTAGTAGACATTGGGGAGGGTATGTGCTATGGTGAGCACTGTGAATTGTGCAAGACTGTTGAATCACAGACCTGTACCTCTGAAACAAATAATACATTATACGTTAAAAAAAAGAGGATTGCAGAAAGGGAAAAATGAAGAGGGGGAAATCGGAGGAGGAGACAAACCATGAGAGACTATGGACTCTGAGAAACAAACTGAGGATTCTAGAGGGGAGGGAGGTGGGGGGATGAGTTAGCCTGGTGATGGGTATTAAAGAGGGCACATACTGAATGGAGCACTGGGTGTTATACGCAAACAACGAATCATGGAACATTACATCAAAAACTAATGATGTAATGTATGGTGATTAACATAATAAAAAAAAGATTATATAGTGATAAAAGGGTCAATTCATCCAGAAGCTTGTTTTTTGTTTTTAAGATTTTATTTATTTGACAAAGAGAGACACAGCGAGAGAGGGAACACAAGCAGGGGGAGTGGGAGAGGGAGAAGCAGGCTTCCTGCTGAGCAGCGAGCCCGATGCGGGGCTCGATCCCAGGACCCTGGAATCATGACCTGAGCTGAAGGCAGACGCTTAACGACTGAGCCATCCAGGTGCCCCAGTATGTTGCAAATTTACTGCACTTTTTTTATTCTACAAATTGCTGGGTACTTAACATTTTCTGAAAAACTGGCTGACATAAATCAATGCTAGAAATTCCCAAAACTGAAACCAATCCTCAACCCCAATTTAAGTTTCATAAAATTAGAATTTATGCCCGCTGATATTAAAAAAGAACCAATCCTAGAGCAGGAAGCATATTAAAAGGTCAAAATCCAGCTTTTAACTTTTATGTTATTTAACTAACTATCTGATCTCTCCTTTCCCTTCCTCTTAAGGATATACTAGTGGTCTATATAGGATTGCAGTTTGACGGCAATACAGAAAGGTAAGAAGACATACGAGACTAAACCTACTCTCCACTTCAAAATGTATGAAACTTTATTTCCTCTGAAACTAAGTTCTTCCTCATTTTCTTTCCACCCTAGCACAGGCATTTAATCTGTTTTGCCCCTTATTTCCAGGTACTCACTGGTACACCATGGGACATGAGCGTGTTGGGATTCATGAGGGTGACAAGCTGGTGTAGCAGGTCAGGCTGGCTATCAAACAGCTCAGGTGTCAGCCTCTTCATCACCTCCTCCAACTGCTCTGCTGCCAATGAGGGTACCCCATACCAGGTTTTTGGTTCACCCCTGATTAGATAAAGAGGAGATATATAAAGTCTGGGCATATCCTTGCACATGGAAGAAGTCTTAACCTCCATCCCAGCCATTTGGACCCCACTCACCAGTGTAGATAATTAATAGAATAACTCCAGTGATCCTCAATATGCCAACAAAATGCTGAGAATACCATGCCTACATACAGCCAGGGAATCTTCATGCCTGAGATGTCTGCATTGATGTGGCACAGAACAGACTGATCCAGCACTGGCATTACATTCAGATTCCAACCACTGGTTGCATATTCCTGTTAAGTCCAAGATTTGCCAGGGTAAGTAGGAAATAGGATGGGGTGAATAAAAACAAACTGAACAAGGCATATATAAGAAGACAGTAGTGATCTCAGGGCATGCTATTTGCTTTCATTTAAGAATACAGACTCAATAGTCATGATATCTTAATACTCATGATACCTCATGATACCCCAGCCATGATAACTTGCATTATTTCTGAAAGCACATCTTTCTTTTAGGAAGACAGAAAACACTGTAACTCAAAATATTTGTCCATAATCCAGATTAAGATTCATGTGTCCTAAAACTAACAAGCACTGTTCATAGGTTTTCTCTTAAGTCACTTTATCCCATTATCAGCTAGCTGCTATGCACTAGGTTTAGCAATTAGGCCCCTAATTAATCCTTAAGTAATTTACATCTTCTAAACGTCATAATCATATTATTCTCTTATATGCGTCTGTATTATTGATCCAAACCCAAAACAAAAAAAATGTTATGCTCCAAATCTTGCCCAAACCTTAGCTATACTGAGTATTTTCCATACAATATTTCAGACTCTCCATCACACCCAAACTACTAAACTTATTATACTATTTATACCATCTCATCCATTTCCTAAATCCGAATTACCTCAGAGCTATGAAGAACATTTCTTGAAAATACTTATGGGCAAATGAACCTACCAATCCTTTAGAGCAAGACAGGAAATGCAAACAACAGACATTACAAAAAGTCTGCACGGAAAAGCTAGGAGTGAGATGCTTTGGGGATTAAGGGTTTTGAAAAACTTCTATGTATTACAAGAACTCAGAAGGCCAAAGGTACCCACGCTAGGGAATAAGCTCAGAAAAGGTACCTAGATTTTCATCTCTGCCTGAACTTCAAGCTCTATGCAAGCAGGAAACAAAGAGTTTTAGGAAGAGTTATAAATGACCTATCTAAGTACTGAAGAGTCATGCACAGAGCCAATCTAGATAGAATGGAAGAGTATTCAGGAACAATGTGACAAAAAATATTGTCTGTACAAAAGTAGTTTTGAAAAGTCACTTTAAACAAATACAAACTCTAAGGAGCAGCAATAAGAAAATAAGGGACAGGAAAACTTAATTACCAGATTCACCACATGAAAACATTCAAAATATCAACAATCAAAATGCTAACAAAAATTATGAGACATGCACATAGATGTGATCTCAGTTAAAGACATTTGCTTTAAAACCAAAGACATGAACAAGTTAAATGGGAAAGAACTGAAAAATAAAAAAATGTATTTCATGCAAATTATAACCAAAGGAGACGGAGTGGTCATGTTACTGTCAAACAAGATAGACTTTAAAAATTACTTAAAACGAAGAACACATTTTACATTGATAAAAATGGTCAATCTACCAAGAAAATAAGTTATATGCATACACCTAAAAATTAGTGCCAAGATAAATGAGACAAAAGTTGATGAAACTGAAGGGAGAAAAACTTCTGCAGTGATAATTGGATATTTTACTATTGCACTGTCAACAATGATAAGAGTAATGACAGCCAAGAAGCCAAAAAATCCAGGTAGACATAGACTATACTACCCAACACAATTCATATTCCTCACAAGTATAGATGAACATTCCCCATGATAAAATGTTAGGTTATAAAGCAAAACGCAATAAACTAAAAAAAGAGTATTTTAAACCACATAGTCATAGGTCAAAGAAGAAATCAGAAAGGAAGTAAGATGCTTTGAAAAAGAAACAAGTAACACAACTGACACTATAATTTTATGCCAACAAAGCATGTAATCTAGATGAAATGGACAAATTTCTAGAGATACACAACCTCTCAAAACTGACTCAAGAAATAAAAAATATGAAGATTGATAACAGATGCAAATCAGCAATGTAAGACCTCTGAACAAAGAAATGCTCAGAAATTGAATGGTTTCACTGATGAATTCTATCAAAAATTAACAAATAATTACACCATCTGTCTCAAACTGGAAAAAAAACCAAAAGACAATTAAATCTTTGTTACTTGAACTTATGAGGGCAGCATTATCTTGATAATGAAGTCAGAAAGACATCACGAGAAAACACAGAGCATTACATATTACCTAAGTGGAACACTTCAACAAAATACAAATCACTCAGTCGGTTAACTGTCTGCCTTCGGATCACATCATGATCCCAGGGTCCTGGGATCGAGCCCCGCATCGGGCTCCCTGGTTGGCGGGAGGCCTGCTTCTCCCTCTCCCACTCCCCCTGCTTGTGTTCGCTCTCTCGCTGTCTCTCTGTGTCAAACAAATAAATAAAATCTTTAAAAAAATAAAAAGTAAAAATAAAAAAATAAAAAATTATATATCATGATCCAGTGAAAATGTCCCAAAATGCAAAATGTTCAAATATGAAACTGATCAATACAACACATTAGCAGAATGAAGGGGGGAAAAGCCTGATCATACTAACTGACGTAGAAATGAACTTAAAAATAACCCACATCCTTTCCTAATAATTATGTTTGATAAATACAGTTTTAGTTGGACAAAAAAATTATTAAGATGGACAATGGTGATGGCTGCAGAACAATGTGAATGCATTTACTGCCAAAGAACTATACACTTAAAAATGTGGTATGTTTTATGTAATGTTTCATCACTGTAAAAAAAAAAAAAAATCAAAGTAGGGACAGTTTTTTCTCTACTAGGTCTTCATGTGCATTTAACAATGACAATTTAAGACTACAAAAAAAAGTATTAGCAGAATTGAAAAGCACTAACATTACTTGAACCCTATGCTTTAGAACAGAAATTAAAAATTCATTGCCAAGGGTGCCTGGGTGGCTCAGTCAGTTGAGCATCTGACTTTGGCTCAGGTCATGACCCCAGGGTCCTGGAATTGAGTCCTGAGTCAGGCTCCTTGCTCAATGGGAAGCCTGCTTCCCTCTCCCTCTGTCCATCAACCCTGTTTGTGCTCTCTCTCAAGTAAATACATAAAATCTTAAAAAAAAAAAAAAATTCACTGCCAAACAGCCAAAATAAAATATACTTTAGAATAAAGAGTTAAGACAGAAATGGAAGGAAAACTTCCAAACTCATTTTATGAGGCCAGCATTACCTTGATCCCAAAACCAAAGACCCCATCAAAAAGGAGAATTACAGGGCGCCTGGGTGGCTCAGTTGGTTAAGTGACTGCCTTTGGCTCAGGTCATGATCCCGGAGTCCCGGGATCGAGTCCCATATCAGGCTCCCTGCTCAGCAGGGAGCCTGCTTCTCCCTCTGACCCTCCCCCATCTCATGTGCTCTCTCTCTCTCATTCTTGCTCTCTCAAATAAATAAATCTTTAAAAAAAAAAATTCTCACCAAAATACTAGCCAAAAGACTCCAACAGTACATTAAAGAATTACTCATGACCCACCAAGTGGGATTTATTCCTGGGCTGCAAGGTTGGTTCAACATTCCCAAATCAATCAATGTGATACATAACATTAATAAAATAAAGAACAAGAATCATATGATCCTCTCAATAGACGTAGAAAAGCATTTGACAAAGTACAGCATCCTTTTTTTTTTTTTTTAAGATTTTATTTAATTGAGATAGAGAATGAGAGAGAGAGAGAGCATGAGAGGGGGTTGGGTCAGAGGGAGAAGCAGACTCCCTGCTGAGCAGGGAGCTCGATGCGGGACTCGATCCTGGGACTCCAGGATCATGACCTGAGCCGAAGGCAGTCGCTTAACCAACTGAGCCACCCAGGCGCCCTACAGCATCCTTTCTTGATCAAAACTCTTCAGTGTAGGGATAGAGGGAACATTCCTCAACATCATAAAAGCCATCTATGAAAAACCCACAGCGAATATCATTCTCAATGGGGAGTAACTGAGAGCTTTTCCCCCGAGGTCAGGAACATGGCAGGGATGTCCACTCTCACCACTGCTATTCAACATCATACTGGAAGTCCTAGCCACAGCAATCAGACAACAAAAAGAAATAAAAGGCATCTGAATCCCCAAAGAACAAGTCAAACTCTCACTCTTTGCAGATGATATAATACTTTACATGGAAAACCCAAAAGATTCCACCCCAAAACTGCTAGAACTCATACAGGAATTCAATAAGTGGCAGGATATAAAATAAATGCACAGAAATCCGTTGCATTTCTATACATCAACAACAAGACAGAAGAAAGAGAAATTAAGGAGTCGATCCCATTTACAATTGCACTCAAAACCATACGATACCTAGGAATAAATCTCACCAAAGAGGCAATGAGTCTGTACTCAGAAAACTACAGAACACTCATGAAAGAAACTGAGGAAGACACAAAGAAATGGAAAAACGTTCCATGCTCATGGATTGGAAGAACAAATATTGTGAAAACGTCTATGCTACCTAGAGTAGTCTACACATTTAATGCAATCCCTATCAAAGTACCATCAATTTTCAAAGAAATGAATAAATAGGGGCAGCTGGGTGGCTGAGTCGGTTGAGTGTCTGCCTTCGGCTCAGGTCATGATCTCAGGGTCCTGGGATCAGGCCCCACGTCAGGCTCCCTGCTTGGCGAGGAGTCTGCTTCTCCCTCTGCTTCTGTCCCTACCCCCTGCTGTGCTCTCTCTCTCTAATAAATAAAATCTTTAAAAAAAAAAATGAACAAATAATCCTAAAATTTATACAGAACCAGAAAACCCCGAATAGCCAGAGGAATGTTGAAAAAGAAAACCAAAGCTGGTGGCATCATAATCCAGACTTCAAGCTCTATTACAAAGCTGTAATCATCAAGACAGTATGGTACTGACACAGAAACAGACACGTAGATCAATGGAACAGAATAGGGAGCCCAGAAATGGACCCTCAACTCTATGGTCAACTAATCTTCGACAAAGCAGGAAAGAATATCCAATGCAAAAAAACCAGTCTCTTCAACAAATGGTGTTGGGAAAACTGGACAGCCACATGCAGAAGAATGAAACTGGACCATTTCATCACACCACACACAAAAATAGACTCAAAATAGATGAAAGACCTAAATGTGA